CAGCTGGCGTCCAGGTGCGGGCCCCCAGGTGCGGAGACCCGGGATGGAGCAGCGCGGCTGCGCGGGCGTCAGGGGCGGGGCCCGCAGCTACACGGGACTGGGCGGTGCTTTGGCTGAGCAGCTTGCTTTCTAGGGTGGATTCGCTGCTTATCCCCTGGGTGAGTGATGCTGCGGGTAGACGCGGGCTAGAGATGGAATACTGCCACCACCCCTCCCACACCCCGACCCGAGGTTCATAATGCGAGCCAGGAAATCACTGAAAAGCTGGTGGTCGATACTTGCCTACTTCAGATAAAGTTCCAGTTGATGGGAACATGTGTAATAGAATACCAACATTCAAGACCCGGAGTGAATTGGGTCAGTGTTGTAGTATTACTGACTTATTAAGGGCACCCCCACCCCCAGGTTTCATCTGGTGATGTTTAAGAAGTTACTGAAAGCAGTAGGGATGAGGTTGAGAATTCGAGGATGACCTTGAACTTCTCTGTGTGCTTAGTTATTCCCGTGTGCCATCGCGTCTGGTTTTATGCAGGGTCCGGGATGGATATGCTTCATGCTTGCTAGGTAAGCATTCTACCACCTGAGCAGCATCCATCACCCGGGGTCAAGCGTCTTAGCAGTAATTTGTATCACACCGAACTGGTAATGGCAAAGCAAAAGAAGTAGTGCACTTTGTCGAACTGGAACTTTCAGAACCCGTAGTCACTATCTCAGTACTTACTGGATGAATTCTGTGGGCAAGTGGTAACAGGTGAGAAGAAGGCAGAACACCTACCCCTTTTCATCTGGGCCATCATTTCTTCTAGGCATCTCGTGTGAAAGGGATTATTTGGGATTTACAGCTGAGTTGCCGCTGATTCTGATACAGAGCCTGGAGGATAAATCTGCATTTTTATTGTTATTATTTTTGTCACAACGGAAGTTAGAAACAAAATGGAAGTGGCAGAAAAGAACATACCGGTAAATGCCACCCTTCTTACCCACCTACATGGGTCTCAGAGGGGGTACTGTGCAGAAATGACAAACCTTCCTATTTAGGCCCTTGCCTCTCCCTGGGGTGTTGAACTAAAGACTGACATCAGTGAAATATCCACATTTGTTGTGTATAGCACAAAAACACAGATGTTAGTTATTAAAAAAAACCCAAAACACTGAACATGCAAATGGGTCACCCTGGAGATGTTATTTTCCTTTTCTTTACCTGGAGAGTTTAAAGTGTAGAGTCTTATTTGAGGAGGTCTGTTGAGGCCCCAGACTTTGCATTTCTCTAAGTTTGCAGGAAGATGCTATACTGGTTTGGGGACCACACTTGGAGACCTAAGCCAAACTTCCTTGCTGTGTAGCTTTTGGGTACTTGAAATGTGGCTAGTACCACTGAGGAAGGGACTGAAGTTTACCTTGATTAATTTTAGCACTAGCAAATGTGAAACCCTGGCCTCAACTCCCAGTACAACTAGAGAGGTGGGGGGAGGGGAGAAGGGAAGAGGAAGAGGAAGAGGAGTGAAAGGAGTGGGGGAGTTGGCAAGGCCTTGGTTGCATGTGTGGAGTATGTTTTACTGTTTTTCTGGGGATGGAAGTCAGGGCCTTAACTCATGCAAGACAAGTGGTCTCCCACTAATCTACATCTCAGCCAGCCACACTTGTTCTTTGCTTTTACTGGATATCATTACTCTAGATGTAGGTTTAGTCTTGGTTTATTCCTTTACGGTACTGGTAGGAATAGTTGGCACAGTTGTTGCAGATACAGCTAACATTTCTTTTTCTATTGATTCTGCTAAAAAGAGCTATTCTGATTTAGGATTGTTGTAGCAAAGAGCACTGTAGCAGGGTTTAACTCAGGATAAGTACAGCAAGGACAGCTGAGAATGGAGATGTCTTTATAGATAGAGATGCATGCAAGGAGTAGGGTATGGGAAGATAGGATAAGGGCTTAGAAAATTAGGAGGAAACATCCATTTAGAATCTAAACTTTAGATGGTGAGGGTGGTCAGATATCAAGGGTGGGAAATTCTGAGTTAGCAGAATTTTTGCTAAAACTGGCCTATGCCGTCCAAAGACTGGGATTCAGACCCTGAATCAAAGCCCGCTGGAGAAGTGACCTTAGAGAAGTTTGAGTAAAGATTGGGAGCTGAGGGGTCTAGTGTTTGCCCAGGGTTTCCTAGCCTCGGTCTATCTGGACCACAGTCTTTGGCAAGTCTCACAGTAAAACAACCCCTGAAGTTTAGCTACAGGAAGCATAAAGTTCAGTTATGGCATACTGAAAAGAGGTGGTGTGGATGGGGGTGGTGTGGAGGGGGTGTGGGGTGGAGGGAGTGAGGGGTGGAAGGGGTGAGGGGTAGAAGGAGTGCTGCCTGGTGACTTTAGATTTGAGCTGAATGGAGGCTGTTGTTGCCCCAGTTGATTGGAGAGAAGAAAATTTTTTGTTTTCTGCTTAAATGTCTAAAGTCATGCATGATTGAGAACTTGTTGTTTCAAATCTTTCAGTGCAATAGTGTGGTTGGTGGTAATTTTGAAGAAGTTTGTTCAGAGAAGGTAATTAGGTTTAAACCACCATTATACAAACAACGGTACCAGTTTGTTAGAGATTTAGTGGATCGTCATGAACCCAAGAAGGTAATTATGTTTTTTTAAAACTGTTAATATTGCCCTACTAAAGTGATTTATCAAATGTACTAGTAAGGACAGACTTTCACCTCTCACCCAGTGTTAGGGATTACTAACAGATCCTCTGGAACTGGAGTTATAGGCAGTGTGTGCTATCTGATGTGGGTGCTTGGAACTGAACCTGGGTCCTCTGAAAGAGCAGCCAGCATTCTTAACTTCTGAACCACTTCTCCAGACCTCTTCACTAACATTTAAATGTGAGGGAAATCTTGATTTTTTTTAAAGTTGGTTTTAATGTCATAGATTCCACATTTCAGGGATATTCAGTTGCAATATCAGGCAGTATTATAGTATTATGGTCAGACATACTGTGGTTCTTTTCATATTAGATAGGTAAATGGGCCAGGATGGCACACGTATCTAACCCCAGGTGTACTCTGCTGAGGCAGAAGGATTGCTTAAGCCCTGGAGTTTGAGGCCAGCCTGAGCTACATAGTGGGATTCTAATTCAAAAGCAAAAACTGGCCAAACAAAACAGTGACAAGTCAGATGAAAATGGGCCTGACCATCACCTTGGAGCAAAGTCATAGTTTCATAGACTAAAGTACCTACTTATTATGCTAATGGGCTTGGCATGACAGTAGACTAGATGCTGGTAAGGTGGTTCTTTGTCTGCTCAGTGGTGAGGACTGGGTTAAGAGGCATTCTCTTACTGGCTTCCTTTAATCGACTCAGCTATTTTGCAAATGCTCACACACCTATCTGCCTTAGTAGCCTTTTAAGTGAATCTGTTCACTTGAAAGGTCTGAAGTACCCCCTCCTTTGCAGCTCAGAGTTCAATATGGAATTTCATGTAGCTCAATATGACTGTTTTTCTAAACAAGTTGAGGAATTGGGGCTGGGAATATAGCTCAGTTGGTAGAATGCTTGTCTAGCATGCACAGAGCCCTGGGTTTGACCCCCAGTGTCTCCTAAAATGGTGAATGCCATAATCCCAGAATTCTTAGCACTCAGAATGTGTTTTGGCTACAAATCAAGTTTGAGGCCAGCCAAGGCCACAGGAGACCCTGTCTCAATAAGTAGATTAATGCATAAACTTAAACAAAGAATTAAGAAATTGAATTACTCTGTGACAAAGGAATTGAAGCAGAGTTTTAGCAAGCTTTATTTCTGAAGCATGATGCTAAAACTTCAACTTGTGCTGGGCATGGTGTCACAGACCTGTACTCTGAACACACTCAGGCAGAGGCAGAGGGATTGCTGCGAGTTTGAGGCCAATCTGGTGTTCATAGTAAGTTCCAGGACAGCAATAAACCAACGAAATAAAGAAATAGAAATAAGACTCAGCTTGTGATTCTTGCTTTGTAAGGATAACCTTGAATCCTCCACTTGCCAAGTGCTAGGATTACAGGTCTGCAACCATCACACTTAATTATGGGAGTGGGGCCCAGGGCGACAGGCATGCTAGGCAGGCACTATATCAATTACATCTCCAACCCTACGTGTGATTCTGCCACACTTCTCTCCCTCTTTGAGACAGGGTCTCATATCCAAGATGGCTTCAAACTTTTTCTGCCTCAGCATCCCCAGTCCTAGGATTCTAGGCAGAGATCACTATGCCTTTTTATCTTTCTGCTTGACTCAAATATTGACAGTAGCAATTGTTCTGAATGGGAATGACTCTGTATGACTTCCTCAAGCACTGATTTACCTGCAGGATTAGAAAGTCCCAGTTTAACTTGGTTTTTGTGTATACTATTCTACCCCCAAAGATCCTTCCACACATACTTTATGTTTTCACTAGTGATACACAATCTCCCACTGAGGGAGGGTGCGTGCCCATACTGGGTGCCTTTCTCTGTCACTCTCCACCGTATGTTTTCTGAGCTAGGTTCCTCATGGAACCTGGATCTCTCAGATTTGGTTAGGCTGAAGTAGGGTTACAGGTGCCTTCTGCTATATCTGACTTTTTGACTTTATATATGGGAGGTCCTCATTCTTGCACTTCACTACCTGAACCATCTTCCCAGGCACCCTCTAGTTTTATTTTTTTATTTTTTGAGACAGGATTTCTCTGTGTAACAGTCTTGGCTTCCTGAAACTCACTTTTTAGAACAGGCTGGCCTCAAACTCACTGAGATCTGCCTGCTTCTGCCTCCAGAATACTGGGATTAAAGGCGAATATCCCCACCATCTGGCCCCTCTAGTTTTAAAAGCTCATACTTTTTTTTTTTTTTTTTTTTTTTGGCTCTGAATGTTTCGAAAATGACAATGTGTCTCATTTATAGGTTGCAGACCTGGGATGTGGCGATACCAAGCTCCTAAAGCTGCTAAAAATCTACCCATGCATTCAACTGCTTGTAGGGGTAGATATCAATGAAGAAAAATTACATTCAAATGGGTAATACTTCTAGTGCTATGGTTTGGATGTGTTTCGTCTCCCAAAGGTGCTTGTGTTGGAAGCCTGGTCCCCAGAGTGGTGGTGGAACTGTGGAGAGGTGGGGGGCATAGTCATAGGTCATGGGGGCTCTTTCTAAGAGAGGGATTCTCCCTCTTTTTGGAGGTAAGATAATATGTTACAGCATAGGTGTCCTCATCTTAAATTTTCAGGGTGTCACCACGCCTGGCTTTCATACCTATCTCTTAAGTTGTGGGTTAAGTCTCATGACTGCATCAGCTCCGAGGGAGGGTTTTAGCATATGCTTGGTAGCTTCATACCACATTCACCTTTCTCCTCTCTGATACATATTAGATTTCTAGATCGTTTTGAAACCTGCTCTTCTAAAGAGCTGAAATATCTCTCTTCCGAAGAGAGGCAAAGCACGACAATGAGAACAGTAGGGGAAATTTAAAATCGTGTTCTTAGTGGCCCGACTTCCCACTGTGGAAGGGAGCTGCCCCATGACCTAGCGTTTAGTATAAGAAGAGAAAAGCCGGCTGAGTGGGACTCACAGCAGTGTAGTCAGAAGGACCCGGGTTCTACAGCTGTGAGAGCTCCTTCTCATTTTACACTTGTGGTTCTGGGAATTACAGTTGTAAATCTATACACACCAAAGCAGGACTTTGAGTTCCAGGGCCTCTCCTCATACAGCTAGGTACACCTCCTGCCCCTGAGCCATATCCCCAGCCGCTATTGCTAAGTTGGTTGTTTGCAATTGTTGCTGACCGATGACGATTCTCTTGCAGGCATCACTTGTCTCCCTACTTGGGGGAGTTTGTAAAACCCCGAGATCTAGATTTGACTGTCACCTTGTATCATGGCTCTGTTGTGGAGAGAGACTCTCGCTTGCTTGGATTCGATTTGATAACATGCATTGAATTGTAAGTCTGAAAGTTGTGTCAACTGTCCGTTTTGAAAAATATGAAGGAATTAGCCTCAGTAATGAATGTGATTATTTGCAGAAAATATAGTCATCAGTTGGAAGTGTCTTTTTTCCTCTTAGTAGTTTTCTTGGGAATTCCAGATATGAAGATAATTCCCAAAACAGACATTTGTATTGGCATCACACAGCCACCTGTTAGCTCTCCCCTTCTCTTCCCGACCATATTACATGTGCATCTCCCTCTATACAGTGCTTTTCCCTCCTGAAAGGAGAAGCTGACATACATAGGCCTTTGTTTCTGTTGAAGACTTTCATTTTGTGGGGCTGGGGAGATGTCTCAGTGGTTAAGAACACTTGCTCTTGAAGAAGATATGGGTTCAGTTCCCAGCACTCACATTGTAGCTAAAGTCAATCCATTAACTCCATTGCATGGGCACCAACTCCCTCTTTTGACCTCTGAGGGCATATGGTTTGCAAGCAGAATACTCACACACATTAAAATAAAGCAATTTGTATTTATTTTTATAATGTATTTAGTTTTTAGACTTTTAATTTACTTTTATGTGTGTGTTTGCCTGAATGTATGTCTCTGTAGTGTGTGTGTGTGTGTGTGTGTGTGTGTGTGTGTGTGTGTGTGTCTGTGTGTGCACGCACTCTGGAATCACAGACAGGTAATAGTTGTGAGTCACCACATAGGTGTTGGGAATCAAACTGTGATCCTCTAGAAGAGCAGCCAGCGCTCTTAACCACTGAACCATCCATCTCTCCAGCCCCTGTATTTCTCTCTCTCTCATTCACTTTCTTTCTTTGTTTTGAAGTCTAACATAGGATGGTCTCAAACTTGTTGTATATAATTTTGAATTTCTCCTCCTTGCCTCTGCCTTCCAAGTGCTGGGATTAGAGGTGTGTGCCACCATCATCAGTTTTATGTGGTGCTAAGGATCGAAATCAGGACTTTGTGCCTTTTAGGGTTTCTATTGCTGTTGTTTGTAGTCTTATTCCATTGCGATCAGACAGGACAGGGAGTCATTTCAGTTTTTCTGTATTTGTTGAGATGTGCTTGGTGTCCTAATATATGATCTGCTTCAGGGAACGTTCCATGGGCTGCTGGGAAGGAGATGCATGCTGCAGTGTTTGGATGGGATAGTCTACAGATTGTATGTTAAGTCATTTTAACCTGAGTCATTTAATTCAGATACTTCTTTTGTTGGGATGGTCTGTCAATTGGTAAGAGTCGGGTGTTGATGAAACTTACGTTGTGCTGGGGTTAATCTGTGATGTCACAGATTCGTATTTGGCAATGTCTTTAAACAATAATTGTCTTGTCTTTTGAGATGTTGTTTCCCCCTCTCTCCTCTCTCCAAGCCCTCCATGAATCATGTTTGTTTGAGTGCTGGGATCTGATGCAAGGCATGGCCTCTGAGCCCCAGCTCAGTCCTGTGGCATTTTTGTTATAACTTGTAGTTACAGAGTTACAGACATTGTAGGATTAGTTACAAAAAAGCACTGTTCTGTTTAACCAGGCTCACTAATTCTTTACCTTTGGTTCCATTTACTTAGGTTTTTCCTCTCCGTGTAACTTCTGTATGCATTTTTCATATGATCCACCTGAGAGTACATTGGGTACAATGAATGGCCTTTTATCCATAAATGACTACATTTTAAAGATATTTTCCTAAAAATTTTATTAGATTGTGTGTGTGTGTGTGTTACTGAACTCACGTTGTCAGGCTTGATGGCAAGTACCTTTAACCTGTTAGCCATATTGCTGCCCTTAAACATTTTTTATAAGAAGAAATGATTTGGGCCAACCAGATGGCTCAGCAGGAAAAGGCATTCAGTCTGCAAACTTGAGTTCAATTTCCAGAACGCATGTAAAGATGGAAGGAGAGAACTGGTTTTC